GTTCCTCAGGTCATTTGAAGCAACTTTTTCCTTTACAAGAATTTTCTCCGGGGCACCGTTAACGAGTTATTAACGAAAAACAGTGACCAATGAGAGGCGAGCTCGGCTGGCGCGAGGCGACCGAGCCAATGAGCGGAACTGGGCTTCGTGCGCTGGTTGGCTGGGCCGCCTCGCGTCAGCCGTACTCGATTCTCATTGGTCACTGTTTTTCGTTAATAACTCGTTAACGGTGACTCGGAGAAAATTTTTGTAAAGGCAGAAGCTGCTTCAAATGATCTAAGGAACCCGCCATTTCCGGATTGCGAGACATTTTTGGGACACCCTGTATATACAATATAATATAGAAATATAAATAAAATATAGAAATTCGCAGTAATTAAACAGAAACTTAAGAAAACATCATATATATATGAGTATATATCTACATACAATATAATATAGAGAAATAGAAATAGAATATAGAAATACAGAAATATAGTTGTTTCTTTCTTAAGTATCAGTAAAAATGTAAACGTTACTTCGAGGCTGTAATTATGCACACAGCTATATTTCTTTAAATAAGGGATTGAAGGACTGTAGCGAACGCGAGGTGGAACATGTCAATAAATAGGAATGATGCATCCACTTCCACGAATTCGATGACGCCCAGTAATTAATGGATCCCCGGAAAATTAAACAATTTCCGTTCGACATTTATCCGAAGAATTAAATCGAGTACCGTTCGACGAGCACGAGAGGATTATTTATTTGCTTTACGTGAGCGTAAATATTGCCATTACAGAACGAAAGAGATAGTTTAACATTCGTTGCGATTAAAGAATTGCCATGGTGACTGAGCCTTGGATTTATTGCCAGCGATTGCGGACTCGAAAAGCAATTTCTATTACGTTCAGGTACACTCGCGTCAGAAAGTATGTGAACATCTTTCCGAACGCGGAGTAACTTTTTTAAAATTGGTCGAGGTAAGTTAGACTTTTTTTTAGATGTATGGATATACTTTTTGTAGTGAATGGGTACACAAAAATTTTTCTAAACTGAAATTTATTAAGATGATAAAGAAAAATTAAGAAATGATTTTTTATAAAGTTTCTTATATGACAATGAGTCCATGCAGAATATTTGAAAAACGCGTTTAATTTCAATGAAATTTCGTAAGTTGTTGAGATCTATAAAACGCATTTTTTATAAGTTGAGGAACATTTTTTGAAAGTTGAACATAGTAATTTCTCCGGGAAATGCTCGGAGGTCGGAATTGAAACCGGCAGATCTGAGAATACTGAGTCGCGATTCTTGCGAGTCTCGCGGCTCGTTTTTATAGAAACTCAGGGCAGTCGTCGAAAACTGGCAGTGACCAGCATGCCGATGTACATTATATATAATATATTATTATTATATAATTATAATTATATTATTATATATATAATAATATAATAATAATAATAATATAATTATAATATTATATATATAATAATATAATAATATATATTAATATGAATACACGCTTAGCATCGACGTAGCAATAAATCACATAGGCGTAGGACTATCAAAGGAAATTCACAGCAACCCGGAATTTGGCATTTCCCGGAGAAATTACTGTAACACTACTTTTTAAAAGTTGAGAAACGCCACTTTTTCAAAGTTGAGAGACATCAATCATCGTTTAAAAATCGAATAACATAATTTTTTAAATGTAGAAAACATAATTTTCAAAAACTGAAAAACCTAATTTTTTAATCGTTTTATCGTTCCAACCAATTGCAATCTGAAAAAAGAACGACCGCCGGACCAGTTACACGTGTCGACACAGAGAAAACAAAGAAAAGGAGATTCGATATTGACCGCAGGAAGTAAGAATACATCCGCTACGCGGCAAACGCATTATCCGCTCCCCTCGTTCCTCTTCGAAGGAGAGAGTTTTTCGAGTGTCCGGAGATCCGGAGGAGTGCAATTTTCCCAGAGGTCCGCGGAAACTGAACAGAAGTGGCTTCGTGGAACGTCTTCCGGATGGATATGCGTGGCTTCTATCACAATACTAACAAAGTGCTTCTCTGACGCAACAAGTGACATACTTTCGTATCCCGATCGCACTATTTATCCTAGCTTCTGCTGGACGGTCACGGACTCGTCCGCTGGACAATCGAAATATCCCATGTCCTGCATAACCGCTAATCCTTGTTGCGTTATGCGCTGCAACAGACTCATTACATCATTGGATAATCTTCTCGCAAATCTGCAACTGTCGACGATCGTGGATTCGATCGACTGGAAAATTCTAAATATTCAACGTCCTACATTGTTATTTCTTGTTACGTTATGAGATTGCGAATTTTATGCCAGTTATTACGAAAATGTGTGGATTAAATGTAAAATGGTAAAGACACTTGAACTATATGAAAATATTACTCTATTATTACTTCGAATAAATTCTTCAAATAAAATTATATTCGAATAACATTTCGAATATATCCTTCGATTAAATTCTTTGAGTAAAATTACGTTCAAATAACATTTCGAATAAATTTTTTGAGTAAAATTTTATTCGTCTAATGTTTCAAATGAAATTTTATCCGAATAACTTTATCGAATAAATTCATCAAATAAAATACGATTCGAATAATATATCGAATAAATTCATCAAATAAAATACGATTCGAATAATATATCGAATAAATTCATCGATTAATATATCGGATAAAATTGTATTCAAATAATTATATCGAATTAATTTTTCGAA